TGATGACTGTGGCAATTTCTGAATATCAATAACACGATGCAGATTAAAATCTTAACTTTTCTAAGAGCAATATATTTAATCTTTTACTTAAAATCAAAAATGTCTATTGGAATGGTTTTTGCTAGCCATAAAGGTGATCTTACGCTCTATGACATAAAATTTACACTCCGGCATTTTTCTAAACCGCAGTCATGAATATCAAGAAATCAAATAGAGCAGACTTAAGCAATTCTAGAACATTTATTTCTTATGTGTGTGGTAACATGTAACACTTTTCTACACAACTATGGTCCTCGTGAATTCTGATTTGGTTAACACACATGACATTGGTAGTGGCATCTACAACAATTTTACACAAATTGTCACGCCGTGTATAACAAGTATCTCAGGACTATACAACAATCCACACGAATAGTACAAAAGTAGCGCCTTTTCAGCACAGAGCTAGGATTGACACAAATAAATCAGTAAGCTCACGGATAAAATATTTAAAAGTAAATTAAATGAAAAGAAATGAATATGCGCAAACGGTTGCTATGGCATAATACTTTAAAGATCATTTTGAATATTTATATCGGCATAATTTAGTACAATTACGTATATAAAACTTTATTGTTTAGATATTCTGTAAACCTTTAACATTTGTCAAATGACTGACTACAGAAAAAGAAACATAAAAATAAAACCTTTTTATGCGGTTACCAGCGTAGCTCCGGTGCAGCATTTTCAAAACTGGCGGTAAGCTCGTAATAAAAGCCACAGTCAACCGTATACCGCTAGAATCATTCTTACTTCTAAAGTCAGTAACCGTAAGAATTCAATGGAATTTTATTATAAAGATATTGGAGGGTATGTCGGGGGTAGGGATGGAACCCTTCAACTACAATTAACAGTATTCATCTGGTGATATAGTTCCGGATACACATTTAAAAATACTAGTAAATGTTTTTGACATACAATGGAAAAAAACTCAAAGTAAATGTGTATATCATATAAATTTGAAATCATTTCGCTGTTTGTTTATGTCCAAAAAAAAGAAAAAGAAATAAATAATAGTATCACAATAGAGTGTCTCCATTAACATTGATTAGCTAAATTTTCATTTGACGATAAGCGTTCAATGTACATTTAAACAAATATACATGCATGTTTATTATATGATATAAATATATCTGCAATCTCATTGGTCCAAACAGTAGTCAACGGAACTTTTAATAAAATCGTATACACTTGGTGAAGTATCATATTCACTGGCTGAATTGGATTTTCTAAAAATAGATGGAGACTCCAATTCAAAGAGATAAATTTGACACTATACGAGCAGAACCAAAATTGTTAGAAATTTTGCAATGACTTTATGTAGTATGGAGCTCCTTTCCCTTACACTGTTTTTACAGGGATCCAGCATATGATTAATGCACAGCTGACATTGATTCTGTCTTAGTAGGCATATCGTTTATTTCATCGGTCGGTCCCAAAAGATTTATGTTTTAAAAGGGTTATATATTCTGGTATTTTGTGTATTTGGCTCTTAGTTGTGAACTTGAAAATATATTCAACTAGATCTGTGAAATATTTTTGTATTAGTGTAGAGTATGGTTTGGATTGAATACATGACCAACTCTGACTGGGTGTTCAATCTCTATTTATTTTATTTATTTTGATGATGTGAAAATGAAACCTATAAAAGCTTTGAACTTGAAACTTCATAGGATGATATATCTTATTAAGAGAAATGCAGTGCTTAAAAACAATTAAAAAATTGTATTATACAGTTAAGTAGGAATGTTTTCACATGACCTTAATAACTTAGGATATGTTTTCTGCTTTTTAATTGTGTCTTTTGACAGTTTGTCTGTGGTATGCAGGTTTCATAACCTCCGATCCCCTTTCAAAAATTCTATTTTATTTAGTTTCACCCATTGTGTTCTCGTTTAGGGCACAAGCAATTTTAAATGTTTAGGACAATATGCCGCTTTGTGCCACAATGTAGGTTCCATGATAGCGTTCATATGAACACATCTATACAGATGTATAAGTAATACTTAAGTTTACCAGTTCATGTTAAATTCTGCTTAAGCTGGTGCTAGGAGGCGTGGACGGTAGCTTGCAGTTATGAACAGGCTCAAACAAATCGAGTCTGCATTTTCAATTTTGCAGAGTTGTATTTTCCTATTCTGTATTTTATAACTTATATGCATTATAATGTGTGTTTCAAACTGTAACCTTTCTTCTGAAGAAAAAATGGCAATAATACAACTTTCAAGAATATATTAAATAGAATGGTATGGGTAATTTTATAAAAATAATGGATTCACAAACTTTATTTGAAATTTGGCAAGTATCTACACTGTAACCGAAATCTTGGTATATACTGTAACAAAATCGGATCAAAGTCGCTCTGCAATACTCTCCTCGCTCTATACTGTAACATTGTTTATTTTTTCAAACGAACAGGAAAATAGGTTCAACTGGTCATTTACTTTTAAAAACGTTTCTAAACACAAAGGACTAACGTTATGTAGGTTTACTTTTGTAGACATGCTAAAATAATGTCGGAATTGGACGAAACATGCGTTGGTCTCTCAATTCAAATTTTCAATCTGTCAAGTCAGCACATTTATGAGACAATAAAGAGATAAAAATGCGCTTCATGGTATGAAGAAATATATGACTAGATACCTGATCCAGTTCCTTATAAGCAAATTACAAAAACATCTTTTAGAAATTGAACTACTTGTATTATGGACCAAAATAAAATCACCTACCCGTTTTCGCCACATATAATCCTAAATCTTGAAAATTCTATACTGTAACTGGAAAGCGCGATACTGTAACAGGTTCCCGACGGTGTCTTTCGTAAAAAAAGATGTCGGTAAAAGTGGTAAAGCTGTCAACTGCTGCATCAAACATCAAAAGAATTTCAGCAATATTCAAGCAATTCAAATACAAGGTGAGAAAGAACCAGCGTTGGATAAATGAACAAGATTAACGAAACGAAACTGAATTTACTCCTCGTATTACGGAATATTAGGAATATCTTGATATGGTAGCTGGCATCCGTCGAATTGAAAATAAAGATTCAGGTCTAATAAAACGTTCGTATAAATGGGTTTATATCGGGGTGGTCGCAAAGCGGTTTTATACTTCATTCAATTTCAATGCAACTTAAAATAAATTTATTTATATACAAAATTGTAACGTTTTGTTATGACAAATGAATGCAATAATAAGTTTTAAAAATGAAAATGGTCACACATGACGAAGTTCATTTTGAAGGAAAATGCACTGTGATTTTTGCGTGAAACTGAATAAATCCCTGCCAGCAATATTGAAGATGCTCAAATAAATTGATTCAAATGTTGGCAGAACTATTGTCGTGCAGGTCACTGACAATGGAAACGAAAACAGAGGGCAAACAATCATTCATTCTTCGCTGCGCAATGGGTTCTACCTTCCTGAGCAAAACATCGCAGAGGTATATAAACTACCTTCTCACATGTGATCTGCCACACAGGATTGTATTACTAAGATCTGCGTGTACTGTTTTAAGGATTTACATTGTTGGCGTCACTATCCTTAATCTGAGCGCTTCATGTGGTAAAGAATGATAAATTTCAAAGTGGCATTTAGTGTTCTCTGTAAAATGATTTACAATTATTTTAAATATATTAAGTATTTAGTCCAAATATTAATATTGCTTTATCAATATCATATGCACGTGATAAAATACTGTTATCCGCTTAATATTTCATTGCCCCTCGTGCATTCAATATGAAGAAACGTTAAACAACTATCAATATTCAATATTGACTTTACATGTACGTAAATACATACGTTTTAACAGGACAAATGTTTCATGATTTAAAGTGTTAATTAATATAACCAGATAAGTCTGTAAAAATATATATGCATTGGTTTAAGTTGACTATCTTGAAATATTGATTTACAAATTTTATTATGAATTTCATTGTGCTCCACACTTTTAACCGACCATGAACTGTATCTCTATATCTCGATCATAGTGTACGGTGCTGTATTGAAGTAAATGTAATTTATCTATCATAACGATCGTAATGGAACCCATGTGAGAGGTTTAAAGAACAGACATTACAATTTAGCCTACTAATGTGTGAAAACTGACATTTTTGATTAATTAAGACTTAATTCGAAAATTATAAAATAGAAGATATTGTTGGATAGACACCTATATAAGTAAGTATTTATTTTGTTAATAAGAACATGCTAAAAAATAAGTTGTAACAATTTAAAGTTTATTACCATGTTAACAATATAATCTGTCGGAATCATTTTTAAAAAAGTGAAGAAAAAAACACACACACACGCACGCACGCACGCTCGCACGCACGCACCACCACACACACACACATCCTAAAGAACGCCAAAATCGGCAAAATTGAATATGTTGCAGCTTCAGCTTTATTAAGCCTGTCCTTGGACGGTACTGAAAAGCGCAAATTACCGTCCATGCCCCATAACACCGGCTTTAGTAGAATTCAGGATATAAACGTGTCTAATGATTTTAATATTTGCCAATTGACGGACGGACGACCAGTTCCATTAAATTAAACTGATATCAGAGATCTCATTGGCCTTTCAAAATTAAGAAAAAGAATGTAAAGGATCTTTCTTAAACGTATACACGTCTAAATCACATTCCTAAATAATTTGAAGGAGTTTCGGAAGCAAAGCTTAGTTTCCTCCGACTTATCAATAGACAACAGTTCACATCGCTTTTAAAAATTTCAATAGTTCTTTAATAAACAATTTATTTAACATTAGAATTAACTGTTAGAAAATACATTATTCTAGACCAAGTATACAAGAGTGCGCATATCACAAAAATATACATAAAGTTCTTATTCAAAATATCTTAGTAAAGGAAGTGTATATCATTTTATTTTCTTTCTTCTAGAGTTCTGTATGGCTGACAATTTAAAGCAGGACGAACAACGTAACAACGAATAAAAATTGAAACAATGGAGATGCCATCATCGGTAAACTTGATTTCTGTTAAGTTTTGATTTTTAATAGTTTTTAGATTATATAGATTATCGTAGGATTACACACTTTGCTTTTGTAAATTATATTTTAAGATCTATATATATGATTTTCTTACAGTTATCGTATAGACTACACTGTAATAACTTTTTACTAAATACTTTGAGTAAAAGCATGTAAAAATTATAATAAAAAGAACTTCTGTTCGATTGTATACTTTGATATGATGTTGGTTTTATTTGATAAAGCAAATGGACTGAATCAAAGTCATTAAGCAGCCAAAGTCGCACAAATTTTCAAACAGAATATCGATTCTCATTTATTAAAACAATTTATTATAATTCACGTTGCAGAAGAAATATGATAAAACTAGAGGGCATGAGCACTACCTGAGGCATATATTGTTATTGGAACAAGCTTCGCCTATCGCATTGAAGGCCATTATAAACAGAGAAGTGACAAAATGTGGAAGAGATCTTTGTATTTTGTTGAATGAGAATAGTCATACAATTAAAACACAGTATGAAACAGAGTTTCTTCAATTATTTCAAGAAGATAATATAAATGACTACATTGATACGTGGGACACACTTCAATTATGTGCTGTGACATCAGTTTTATTCAAATCAGGTCTAACTGGTACAGAAGTTAAAGCTATTCAATGTATATATGATCAGAGAAAAGATATTGAAAAATACGTAGAATATGCCTCCCTTACATACAATACCTACAAGGAGAAACAAAAATTATTGCACGAACAATTACTCGAGTTGATAACGCTCATAGACGACCAAGCTAATCTTGATTGTAAACGTATGGTATTTTCATTTGAATCAAAATTAATGACGTTAAGCGAATCACAAATAGGCAAACTAACACGGACAAATGATATTAAAACTCATCTGAAAATTGCAATGGAAGTAAATGTCGTAACAGATAATGATATCACTAGCGAAGAAGACGATCAAAAGCTTCCGACCAATTGTAAGTATTGCTGTTACAGTATGACTTTAAATTGATCCATATGGTTATTTTGTATCCAAACACATCACTTTATCTGCATGTTGTCAATAAGTGTTTATATATTTACCAATTATCTATATTAATTTTATTCATCCAAAACTTATTCTTTTTATGATTAAAAATTTACTAAATTTAAGTCGACAGATTCATTTTCTACTGTCCCCCCTCCTCCATTCAAATTTAACAACAGTTTTTCATTAACAGCTCTTATAAATCATAGATTTCGGTTGTAAGCACACTAACGGTGACCGACATTCGGCATTTGTTTTAAACAAAACTACTACTTAAGCATTGACCTTATAGGTTATGGGGCATTAACCTTATACTGCCTACAGTGGTAAATACTTTGAAAACATTTAAGGTTTTTTTTGACGTCGCTGCTTAAAACGTTATGTTGTCAGTAGGCTTTCCGTTTGCTCTGTTATGCCTGTACTGGTTTCCCAGCAGTTTCCGGCCCAAGTCGCTCTCCTTAACAAATAATAAAATGTCTACGGACGAGTACAAATATTTTTCAGAACAAGTACCTGTCAAACCTTACCATGTTTTTAATGTTGCTCTTAAATCTTACTGTTTAATTGGATTAGAAATATTACACCTTTTCTCACTTTTATTCCAAATTTCCCAGCAGTTTTCCGGACCATTTTTTGTTTTGAATATGGTTCAGTACCAGTAAACAATGTTCATATGTTGTTTTATTTTTCCAAAAAATATTACTTCTCAACCATTTCCCTGTTGGCTGCAAATATGTGTTTAAAAGTTTTTTAGAAAAGGATCTTAGTGTTATTGTACATGGGCATTCAAACTAGAATTCCACTGGCGTTGCTTATTTTTAAAGTTACAAGTTCTCTTATGTAACTTTAAACCACAGGTAAAACTTAAAAACATGTCAATCGCTGTACTATTTTAACCGTTTTGTTGCATATAAAACACATGTCTCTCTGATCTGATCGATGAAGTAACAAAGATGCCTTACTTGGTAAAATAGACAGTACTGGGTGAAAATGATATAAGGCCGAAAAACTCCTAGGGGCCGGAAACTGCTTGGTAACCAGTAGTGGTCATAATATGTATAATTGTTATAATTACTTGTTTCAATGTTACGAGGATATAATACGCATTAATATAATGTTTGTTACATGAACTTTTGATAAATACTTTTGAGAATAAATGGCTTAATTTCGCGTATTTCTCGATCATATCTCGTACTTTTCGATATTCATGCCTAAAGTACAAGTGCAACACAAATTAATGTTTGCCTGTCCGAATAAGAACCATGCTTGGAAAGATATTTTAATGTAGAACATTTATGTAATGTTTACTTTCAGGTGAAATTGTCATATTCTTGTTTGTGCCTTGTTTTCATGATGTTGTCAGTTTTATTTTCATAACATTATCTTGTAAGACGCTGATAGGTTTACAATTTTGTATTATATGTAATGTATGTCATACGTTTTCAGATCGTTTTCAATTTGATAATAGCGCGATCAGTATTTAATAATTTTATATTTGTGAATTATAATCTAATAAACGAAATACAATATACTTCAGACCAAATGTTTACTGAAACACTTCGGAACAAAAGTGTCTACATCAATGATTCAGCTATTTTGACATGCAAACTCAACCTTCCAATAGATGAAAATGTTGAGTGGAGGAAGGATTACAAGCCGGTTGAAATTTCAAACAATCTTATGGTCATGAGCAAGAATGGCAATCATTGGTTAGCGATTTCCCGTGCATCATTGGAAGATACGGGTCAATATACGTGTGTATGTGGCCATATTTCAACATCAGCGGACCTTACTGTTATAGGTATGCTTTAATCGAATTATAACAACAATGCCTGTGCTCCTTTTCAATGCTTAGAAACAGATAACGAAATAACCATAGTTTACCATGGTACTATTCATAACTTCCAATCTATTACGCAAATCTGGTATAATATAAAACTATAATCAGAGCACGAAGATTTTAGATTACGCTGAAACTTAAGTTTGATTGTCTATCAACTTTATAATTTGTAATTAAACAGTAAATTTGATTAGAAATAATCAAAATGACAATAGATTAAGTGAAATGTAATTGTATGATAGCAACATGGGTAAATATTAGTAACAGTTTATTACATAACAAAATCATAGTTGCTACTTTGGTTACTAGGACTTGTGGAAAAACATATTTTTACATTCACGGAAAAGATCCTGCTTGTAAAATTTTGTTATAACAACATTATTTTGGTTTTCTTTTAGTACATCATTGCGAACGACAAAATCTTTGCTTCATACAATAAATAATTATAATGTAAGATCTATTTTCAAAAAAAATATGTGTGTTTATTTTTTGCATGCGTAATCGCAATATTAGTCTTAATATCGAATTACAAATTAAGTATGATTCGTTCATTTATCATTATCCCAATCTTTTGTAACAGATGAAGCATTAAGTGTGGTCGTTCATTTCCCAGTCAAGATTGAGGTTATTGAAAATGGGAACATTGATATAGAATGTAAGGTGAATCTGCTTGCGAGTAAACCTGTTTGGCGACACAAAGGGGAACTTCTTCGATCATCTGGTAGAAAGGTTATACAAGCAAAGGGTTGTACACACAGATTGATGATCACGAATTTAACATTAGAAGACGAGGGTGAATATACAGTTGACTTTGGGAATGTCTCATCTAAAACAACAGTTCAAATACAAGGTCAACATATATGAATGTTATCCGTTATTGTAATACTGACACTATTTATATAGTTGGTTTTAATCTCTATAAGGTCCTTTACATAAAAGTCGTTAATTTTATTAAATTTGTTTGGGTCAAAGCTGGAAAATATAAAAAGCTAACAATGCATTTGATTTCATACCTATTTGCAAGATACCAGAAAATCATTGGTGCAATTTTCTTAAATTTATTTTAGTTGAAACAGACCTTATTCACAGAAAACAGATAAAACAAGAATTGTACAGAAATTGGATGAGAGGAGCTCTAGCGTTAAAATATTTAAAAATAGGTTTAGAGGGTTTTTCGGACAAGGCTGTTCACAAACAACATAATGATCTAATGAAAAAACTTGGAAACTACTGCAACACTTGTACAGAGGAAAGTCTTCTCCCACATAAGCAAGATCAATGCCCACGACAAAGAAAACATCAATGTTTATGTACCAAAGGTCAGAAACAGAAATCAAGACAAATGTGCCCAAACGGGGGATTTTGTGGCAACGTTTATAATCAAATAGTTTATAAACATCGCTTTCAAGATCCATTATTCACAAATACAGATATCCAAAAATGGAGCAATGATGCGTGGAGTGTTGCTACATGCTTTGTTAATACTACTGGCTACAAAGGCAAACAATCAGCTAAAGATATCGACTGCTCCGGTTTACTTAGTATGTGTATAAACAACATTGATATAGAAATAATGCTTGGAGAAGTTATCATCGATGGGAAAATAGATGCGTTTGCAAAGGTACACATCTTCACCACAGTAATCACTTATTGTTGTATGTAATTTCAATTGAACGTTGTATACAATATATATATATATAAATATATACATGTATATATTTAGCATTTATTATGCAAGTTTAGAACAGTCTTTTCGAATTGGTTTTATAATTGATTAATTTATAAGTGAAGTTTTTTAGCAACAAATTAAAATGAGACTTTAGATACTGAAGTGTTACTTTTACAGGCAAGGGAAGCGAGGAATGATATTCTTCACAGTCCAAACTATGAACTATCTGAAAATGAACTAAACAAGTTTATCAGAATGTTCAAAGAAGTACTAGAAATCAAGGACAAACATGGTAATACACCTTTGAAAGGGGAGCCAGGCGTAGAAGGAGCATTACGTTTACTAGATATGGTAATAATCCTATTGGAATTATATAGTTTAACGTTTAAGGAAGTACTAGACACAGACAATTATTTGAATATTAAAAAGATTGCAACAATACAGGATAAAAAATGATCAACAAAGCGTATTACATGTAAATAGTTCGACAGTTTGTTGTACAACAAGATTGCATGTGTGAAAAATGCTATGTCACCGTATTAATATACCACTTGATAATAGTGCATGTATTTTTTCCTTTGCTTTCAAGTGGGGAGGATCCCTTACAATATGCCAAATGTGTTTTCAATTATTTTTGTATTGACATGAAAATTGTTCAAATGAGTTTACGGGCCGGAGTCCTATCATAATTTCTTTTACAGGTGCAACAAAATCAAATTGAGATGAACCTTGAACGTGACATGAGAGAATTGAGAGAGCATGGGATGTCTAGATTAGAAGAGAAATACAAGACAGCAGAAAAACAGGCAAGTTTTATATTTATAGCTAATGCATTTGAATTTTGTTATAACATGATTTTACGCATACAGCCTGTAAAGTAAAGGAATATTGATTTTTAAGTCTCATGAAATTTATAATTGTTTCAAAATGTCTTTGAAAAATACTGCGACTCTTAAGTTGCTACCCTATTTATTGTATACGTATCATTGCCGAGAAAATCATGTTAAAACTTGTGCATTTAACCTGTCATTTTTACATGTCTCTCTGTTAAAAATCATGCACGCTTGAATATAATGCCTCGTTTAGATTATTTGTAGCTTAAAGAAACACTGGTCTTCATGAGTATTGGGAAAGATACAATTTGTTAATGACATAAAAGTGTTCTGATTTAAATGTACTTTGTGGTCATTAACTGTTCTTATCTTCTGACTTCTATCTAAGGTAACCAAAGGAAGTTTTTAGACTAGGTGGTATCCGAACATTATCAGTGTTGCGTAAGTATAATAATGTATTTGGCCTAAGAGAATGAATATTTCCAAAATAAATATAATTACAATTTAGTTCTTTCTTCGTCGTGTTGATACACGATTAGTGCATGGTTCGAAAAATATATATAATGCAACATTTTAACCTTTTTTCTTCAGCGTGAACTGAAACTTCAACTTATAGAGCAACAAATAAAAGGTTTGTCCTTGACTATTAATTTGAACAAATAAGAGCTTATCCTTATGCAAAAAGTCTTCCAGGTCATTAGACCATGTTTCGAATCTAAAAGTACGTGCTTTCGAGAAACATGTGTAGTTTAAAAATCCTGTGTCTTTTGAAAAGAATGACAATTTTTCTTTTAAATTCAACGATTTCATAAATTGGTTCTTTTTAATGATAGAACGGTTGGATTCGACAAAACAGTAACATTATGCATAATTGACATAAGGTTTTAAACATATGTATAAATACCTACAAAGAGAAAGAATAATTAAAAAAAGAAGCTACAAAGAGAATCAGATTTTGAAATGAAAATGTTGTTTGAATAGACATTTATCAGGAAATAGGTGTTTGAGGATTTCACACTATAATAAATTTATATAAATGAGGTCATGCAAGAAATATTTTCTTTAAAAAACGTCTTTATTTCTATAAAAATAAACAATCAAAAGAACATCAGATTTCTAAAAAAAATAATATTGCTTGTAAAAGAATAATCAAGAAATAATTATCGTAATTTTAATTAATAGAAAACATTCCCGAGTTTGCAGACTTTGTCTTTTAAGTGGCTTGTAACTATAAACAGAAACAGTGTTGTTGTTCTTGTTTTAAAGTTAAAACACACAGGTGTTGGTCTGTTGAAATTATCTTGCAAAATATCTGGTCTAAAGATGTATTCTATCCATTTATATACACGCCGAATTAGTTAAAAATAGGATATGCATATACTCTGTTTAACATTATTGAATATTATTTACGTAAATGTCCATTATTGCTCGAGTTGTGTTTTTATTTACAGATAAAGAAAATGAGCTTCAGCTTATGCTAAATCTTAGATCTGCAGGAAAACAAAATAACCTTAAAGGTACTTAATGAAAAATAAATACTCAAAAACCTTTGACTTTACCGCTCTTATTTGGTAAGAATTAAAGATTTGTTAACAGTGAAAAGAAGACAAAACGAAAACAGATTAAGAACATAAGGTTATTTGATATATTCCTTTCTAAAACGAGTTAAACTAGCTATATTTGAAATATATCAAAATTCATAGTCAAAGAACCATTTCCTTGTTGTTCTTGCATAAAAACTGCGCACGTAGGGGTATATTAACGAAGACGGAAACATGCTTTTACAGATACAATTACGCAAGCATGCACTTTTTTAATATGCATGACTCAGGGCGCCATGTATAACGGTTATAAACGGCAAGTCATGACGACACCTGTGTTACAGTTATATGGAAAAAATAACGAAACGCAAATGTAACTTATTGAAGAATAGCGATACTACAGAATGTGTGCCTGCATTATATCTGCATATTTTGATCCATGTTAAAGCGTGCATTAATTCTTTATTATGTTTTTTTTCAGAGCACATCTTGCTTGATCTACAGATAAATGTTATTGCTAAAAATGGTGAAAAAAGTGCTGAAGGGAATCAACGAGTTTATGAAGTAATGAGAGACTATATTAAAGATAACGATGATATGACTGGTTCGTCTTTTGTTGAAAGATCAACTGATACACCAGTCTATCACCTCGTAGATTTCATCAAGGCCATAAAGAAATGCAGTATCGTTGATATTTCTCCCACTGACCAATCGTCAACAGACATACACATCAACTGCCCCAGTTCGAACGTCATGGAAGATTTTCTCAAGTCTATCATCAGTAACGAATTTCAACAAGAACTGTTTAATCTTAGACTCATTTTAGCATATTGAAATAATTTAAATTTATTTGGTAAGTAAGACGAATGAAATATATTTTAGTCATCACCTTTGTAAAATATTCGAGTGTTGGCAGAATAATAAGTCTTTTCGTTATAGCGATTGGCTGATGTATCATTTGGTCTACACTGAAATACAGTGGGCGACTAAATAGTTTCTTTTGGTTTTGACCCCAGTTGTTGCTTTGACGTTTGTAACATCCGAGGTTAGCCAAAATTATCCCTTTCTGTTTCCGGAGTTATATGACCTAAACTGTGTTGACCAGTACGCCGTAAAACCAAACAAACAAACAAAGCTAACAAAATATTTTATATCGGCAAATTCCAGCATTGCTAATAGTTCTTTGTATTTATTTAACAGTTAACTTTTAATTAGAATAATACCTTAATTCCTGAAAAAGTGCAAGGTATTTATTAAAGGGATTACCCGCTGGTTTGTCTTTTGTTTTGTGATATTCTGACATGCTTATTCTTTACAATTTACCAAAATTTTTATTTTAAGCTTGTAATTGCTGTTTTCACATTTTTATACATGTTTTTTTCTTGAAACTGATCGTATTCATTTTATTTTGTAAACATGCAAACTATTATTGCATGATTATTATTATTAAAATTTATTATCTTATCAGTAATCAAAATTAGCTCTTTAAAATCATGCGATGCACCTATGATTCAAACATCATATCAACAGCCTTCTGTGTAATTTAGTTACTAAGACATTGTTTTTTGTGTTTGCGCTGTAATTGCATGGCCCTTCATTTATAGGGCAGATAGTTTGTACAACCAGTAACAACCATTTTCTGAACATGAGGAATTTTTGCACTTCGATTTTGAATAACATATTTCTTAGAGGTTAATATTTAGTTCCCCTGCTCGCCGTTGTGCAATAATGGCCTGACGATGTTCATCATGACACGACGACCGCAGAACCTCGGTGTCCAATATAATGTTTTTAAAACCTACGGAATACCGTTGATGTCATCGTGGTCAGCAGATTTAATGTACTGTACGTCATTCGAAAAAAATGAAGACCGGCTAAACGTATTGCACTATCGTATTATCGCCATCACATTATCGCATTGTCGCATTATCGGACCGTCGTCATTGCATTATCGCACCGTCGTATAACCACGTAGACCTTACGTAGACCTTTTCCATAAATACCTACATTTCAAAATCGCCGCTTATCTTGGTTGTCGCAATTTCTAAGAAACGTACAGGTTGTCAATTTATACAAATATGTCTGTCATTCAGTTAACAAACTAGAAATTGATAGAAGGAAGGGGTGCAGACCTTTTGCACATATGCTTATAAATACACACGAAACTTACAGAATTATAGGTACAAACAATGTGTTCATACATTTGGTTATGATAGCGGCTGGTTTCTTTTTATACACCAGTTTTTGGCAAATTCAACACATATTTCTGAGCGCTTTAAAAATGATTCAATACCAGAAATTAATCGAAATTAGGTGTGGAACTAGTTTTCCCCAAATACAAGTGCATACGATTATAAATGAAATTGATATTGTATAAACGTACAGTCAGTTTTATACGTACAATATAAATTGATAGAATATGTATGCATAAAGTTTAACCCAGAAATACTCACATTTTCCATCTTCGTGGGACAGAATTGCAATAACCGTTGTCTGTCTGTCAAACGTGTATATGTACTTTTTATGTCTGTTAATCTCGGGTACATGTATAACAATGTACATTCAAAAAGGGCTTATACTCTTAATGTTTAATAAACTTGGTTATGGAAGCATTCTTAATGTGGAACAGATTGCCCTGATTCTTTCCAGTAATGACGGATACATAATAATTATGAATCGATTTACGCTCGATCTAACGGAGTAATACTTACCAAAGGCAGTCGGTGCATGGCTTGGATAGTACACATGTACATTAACACGCCCACTTATTTTTGTACCCCGGAAGGGAGGCAAGCTATAATCGCACCGTCCGTCTGTTCGTCCGTATGGCCGTATGTGCGTCCTCACTTCATTCGTGTCCGGACTGTATCTTTGGCAAATGAGTTGCGCCCAAGAACCACGTCCCTGCCTCAAAGGTCAAGGTCACACTATCATTTTGAAGTTTCACATTATCGCAATAAGAATTAATAGGTACACACAATCGTGTCCGGGCTGTAAATTTGTCATGCATGGAAGGATTTTAAAATAACTTGGCGTAAATGACTACAACATCAAGACAATGTGTTGCGTCTAATACTCACGTCCCTTCCTTAAAGGTCAATGTCGCACTACCATTTTAAATTTCACTTTATCACAATTAGAGTTTATAAGTACACACATTCGTGTCCGGGCTGTAACTTGATCATGCATACAAATCCTGACCCGGATATTCACGCTGTTACCGAGCTTCGCTCAATTTCGACTGTGCGAACGGGGTACGCATCAGGTAGGCTTTTATCCGGGTCAGGATTTGTATACATGTAATGTGGGAAAATTTAAAAAGTTAACTGCATAACTACTGCCTACCTACAGACGTCTTGGATTAAATTCGGACCGGTGAGCGATAGTATTATAGCTGCCTTTTCTGTTTCAACTGTTTGCAAGCATGCACTGACATTAGTTTTTTTATTAAGAAAAAGATCGATTAATGTTCAAAATCGTATTCTTACCGCTCGGTCAAGCGATGTCCGACCTAGACAAATATTGCATTTTCGCTTTTAAATTCCATATTTTGTCGTACTTACTCGTCTAATATTGTACATTTTTCGAAAGATAAATTATTTTTGCGTAGATTACACTTTATTTGGTGAAAATTGGTTGGTTTACAATTAACACAGATCTCGGAGGTAAAATAAAGCCTGGTGGTAGTTCCGCTGGCGAACCTTTCTACATTTATTATATTTATAAAATATTATGGATGAAATTTTAAAAACAACTTTCCTTTGTTGTTTTATTGAAAACAAGATATTTTAAAAACATTTTAAGTGAAAAATATTGTATTAGTGAAAACAAAATATTTATAAAAATAAGTGGGCGTGGTCATGTACATGTATATTATCCAAGCCACGCACCGACTGCCTATGGTAAGTATTACTCCGTTAGATCGAGCGTAAATCAGTTATTGCATAGTTATTGTCTTTGTTTAAATCTTAACGTACACGCCCTTTAAATACATATTGTATTAATAGTTATTGTTCATAAGTAATTTAATTTAAAAATAACCTGTTGTTTGTTGGAATGTAAGTAACGACTTCATTTAACGAGGCTTACACATTAGGTTTCCCGATCTTCCCAGTGGGTCACAGCTGAATTACATAATTACAATGAAAAAAAAACAGTTTTAATATAGACCATTTATTTTTTATGCTTTTCAGTGGATTACTTATTTATCCGTGAAAATTATATTTGATAATTTCACAGTGAAAATTATCAAAATATAATTTCACACTTTTCAATGACGAAACTACTTTTTAAAGATTTTCTCCATGTGGTACCTCAATTTTATTTTTGCTGACAATTCTGACAATGTCAGGATGTTTAAAGAAAAGCAAAGCTGAAATTGATAATTAACTTAAATGTCAAAAGTAATAAAAAGAAGAAAACTTACTTCTATTCATTCAAATTCCAATCACCAAATTTCGTCTCTAAATTTTTTGTTTCATTTTACAGTCTGAAAAGTACATTTCTTCCACATGCAAAACTGCTCTTGATGACATTTGGGCATATTTATGTATCCTACGAGCAATAACTGCCGTATGCTTTATGAAAACTTGAAGAGCAATGACAGCCATCCCCGTAGAATAAGTAAACAACCCAGCGTTCCTGATCCAGCCTTTGAAGTTTTCCATTTTCCTTGCTGCTTTTTGAATGATTTCACATCTGTCAACACTTATTTTTTGTCTGTTACAATCCTCAAATAAGTTTTCTTTCTTTTAAAAAGGTGTATGACTAACAAATCCAAATGATATCCCTCTGAATCAAACACAATTATTTTCCTCCCGTGAAATACACAACTTTAAAAAATGGCTGCCGCTTACATTTAACAAAGCCAGGTCTAATATAAATTCGCAGTAAGTAACGGAAATATGGATGGATGGTTGGACTTTTTCTCCTACAACAATTGTTTGTTTTTATCATTAAAACAAGCGATCATTCATATTTTTTTAATAAAATGAATAATATCACAGTCATTTAACGTTGATTGTCGAACTAATTTTTCAGCTCAAGAATTCTTGTATTTAATGAGAAATTCCGACTAACTGGGGCTCTCAATGGGGAAAACAGATTTTAATGTTGACGTTAATATTATTAAAATTTCGTTTTAACTTGTTTTTAAGCATAAAATAAAAAGAAAATTTGTGTGTTTGTTGTGTAAGATGTAATTTTATTTCATCTCGTGAACTTTAAAAACAGTATTCTCACTCGTGGCTACACCACTGGTGAGAATACTGTTTTTAAAGCCCACTCGATGAAATAAAATTTCATCTTACACACAAACAAACAAAATATCCTCTATATATAAACAATGTATGAATGGTTATCCAAAAATTCTTGGACTTTTTAAATATCTCTTGAACGTCAGCGTGTACTGTAATGAAACTTTATCAGCATACCTTGTAGAATATTATCAATATATTTTGAAAGGAAAAATTAAATGCGACATTAATAATGGTTTTATATTGCTTTTGAATAAGCACATACACTGTACCCGGCGCATTGTAGAAAAGTGCAGTTAGTCATCGTATAATTTTTGCTAAAAACTAATAATTTACGTAGAAACACGCTGAACATCGAATGTTTCTTGTAGGACGACAAATTTGATATCAGGAATTATTGGTTATTGCTACACAGTCTCTTTGTAAATATTAAACAAACATGTTTTGACTTCAAACAAAGTAGATATTTTATGTTTAAAACGCTAAACACTATAGGTGGTCACAGTATGAATATGAGTATAGTTGCGTTAAAAAGACTGGCAGCTTTTTTAAGAAAATACCAACATTTTTGTCCTGTAA